TTAGTTCTAGGTTGCTTCTCTCCTTGATTAGTTTCCACCCGTTGCTTCTTGTCCTGCCTCCAGGCGCTTTGGAAAATAGCTTGACTCCCTCTTCTTTGGGGCAGCCCCTGAGATACTGGAACACTGCTATATGTCCCCCCTCGTCCTTCTCTCCATTAAACTATTCTATTCTATTCTATTCTATTCTATTCTATTCTATTCTATTCTATTCTATTCTATTCTATTCTATAATAATAATAATAATAATAATAATAATAATAATAATAATAATAATAATAATAATAATAATAAAGTTGGAAGGGACCTTGGAGGTCATCTAGTCCAACCCCCTGCTCAGGCAGGAAACCCTATACCATTTCAGACAAATGGCTGTCCAGTCTCTAGCCAGCCTTACAAATTTCTTAAGCAAGTAGAAATGGAAGAACCTCAAACAAGAAAGGAACCCCTGAGAGCATCAAGACCAACCCCCTTGCACTGCTTAGAAGTTAGGAACGCCGATAGTTGTCCAGCCACAGTTTGAATGCAACCAGTGGTCAGCAGCTCTCTGGGGCTTTGTTTGCACTGTTCAACAGCTCTTTGTGAGAGTTTTTTTCTTCTAACATCCCTCTTGGAATTGTAAATAATAATAATAATAATGATAAAGTTGGAAGGGACCTTGGAAGTCATCTAGTCCAACCCCCTGCTCAGGCAGGAAACCCTATACCATTTAGGACAAATGCCTGTCCGGTCTCTTCTTAAAAACTTCCAGTGTTGGAGCATTCACCGCTTCTGGAGGAAGGTTGTTCCACTGGTTAATTGTTCTCACTGTCAGGAAGTTTCTCCTCAGTTCTAGGTTGCTTCTCTCCTTGATTAGTTTCCATCTGTTGCTTCTTGTCCTGCCTTCGGGTGCTTTGGAGAATAGCTTGACTGCCTCTTCTTTGGGGCAGCCCTTGAGATACTGGAACACTGCTATCATGTCCCCCCTCGTCCTTCTCTTCATAAAACTAGACATACCCAATTCCAGCAGCCGTTCCTTATATGTTTTAGCCTCCAGTCCCTAATCATCTTTGTTGCTCTTCTCTGCACTCTTTCTAGAGTCTCAACCTCTTTTTTTTATGGTTGATGGTGCTGTGTCCTTCTTTTCTTCTAGGAGACAGGAAACTCTTTGTGGGCATGTTGAATAAACAGCAGTCCGAAGAAGACATTCTGTGTCTCTTTGAACCTTTCGGGGTCATTGACGAATGCACAGTGCTTAGAGGTCCGGATGGAAACAGCAAAGGTGAGTTCAACGTCTTCGATCCAACTGCGGCTCTCCAGGTGATTTTTTTAAAAAAAAATCCCTCCCCTTTTCTTTGGGTTTTACCTGAAGCATTCAGGTGTGCTACCGTCTGCTTTGTGATTGTGTCAAAGGTGCAGTGAGCTTCTGGAAAAAGAAAAGATGGGTTTTTGTCACGGCGGAGGAAAGATTTAATTCACGGTAGCCATCAGTATGTGATTTTTTTAAAAAACCCACATCGTTTTATGTGTGCCTGAACTACACAGAAAAGGGATGCAGCTTTGATTGCATCATTCCCCTTTCCATTTTGACTTTTTTGACCTCTGTTCCATCCCATGGCCCATCATGGCCTCTCTTTGCTCTAACAGTGTACTAAAATGCCCAGGGAACAATTCTTGCCAAGTCAAAACACGCACAGAGTTGTGGGATTCTCATCTCCCTCTTCATTTAACAGAATAACGAAGTTGGGAGGGACCTTGGAGGTCTTCTAGTCTAACCCCCTGCTCAGGCAGGAAACCCTATACCATTTCAGACATGGCTGTCCAGTCTCTTCTTTAAAATTTCCAGTGTTGGAGCATTTACAATTTCTGGAGGGAAATTAGAATAGAATAGATCTGGAAGCGACCCTGGAGGTCTTCCAGTCCAGCCCCCTGCTCAACCAGGCGAACCTACACCATCTCAGACAGGTGATTGTCTAGTCTCTTCTTAAAAACCTCCAGCAATGGAGCGCCCACGACTTCTGGTGGCAAGCTGTTCCACTGGTTGATTGTCTTCACTGTTGGGAAGTTTCTCCTTAATGCCAGGTTGCTTCACTGGTTGATTGTCCTCACTGTCGGGAAGTTCCTCCTTAATACCAGGTTGCTTCTCTCTTTGATCAGTTTCCAACCATGGTTTCTCATCCTTCCCTCTGGTGCTCTGGTGAACAGATTATCTGTTCTCACTCTCGGAAAATTTCACTTTAGTTCTTGTTAAAAATTCTGTTTATATATATATATAGCACCACAGATCGAACAAAGTGTACAATCACCATGTACTTTCCTGCTTAACTGTTTTAACTGTATCAGGAAACAGGAAACTCTACTTAGGACAAAAGAACATCATAGAGTATATACTAAAGATCCAAATTTGTAAACACTGCCATCTACTGGCTCAACGCTATTGTAGTTGTTGCACAAATATACATTCCAACAGTGAATTCCAACCGTTCTAGGCATCTCCTCTGTCTTAATCCTTGTTTAATCC